GTATTTGTGTATAAATATTAAAGAATAAATACAAAAGCTATTTGTATCAATATTTCTGAGGGTTTTTTTCCCAAAAAAAAAATATAATATATTTGACCCTAGCATTGGATTATTACAGTAATATTGGTATAAATAAGTATGTTAGGCAATGGAGCTGGAAGTAAATTGAGGGAGGACAGAGTTACATACTGTGAGGCCTTATTTAAGTTTCCTTGAATGTTCATTTTGAGTTCTGCCTCAAACATTAAATGTGATGATTTTTGCAACAAATAATATAATGTCAGAGAGGAATATATTTTCTTCCCTTTATCCAGTTTAATCTTTAAATTGCTGAGACCAGTATTTTAGAACAGGTATCATTGATATATGTAGTTTTCTTACAAGAGGTCTGAAATACTATATATCTCTGAAGTATTTGAAACATTTGGACTGCTCTGTATCATGGTTATCTATGCAGAGTACCTTAAAACTATTGTAAGATATTGTTAATTATTTCAGTAGATTTAATGAAATGAAAGAATAATTTATTTTTTAAATCTTTCTTTAAATCTGCTAAATGGAAAAATATTAGCATGTTTTTTGACTGCTCAATTTGCTTTTGAAGCACTAGCATCCACTGTAACTCTAAGATTACTTGTTGAAATTTTCTTTCAACTTAGAAAATTTAGAAAATTCTAAATCAGACTTAATTTTACTGAATGCTGAAAAACAATTTAAGTTGGATAATTTGCAAGAATTTTAGGTAATAGCCTACTTTGAAAAAGTAAATTGTCATATGTCTTAAAGAATGTCAGATAAGAATACAATATAATTCAACAAAATATACTTTTTCATGTTTATTAGACATCTTAGAAGATGTTTAACAAGGCTTGGGCATTTATTTTTAAATATTAGAGATGTAGTTGAAGAGACCTAGTCCTGATTTGGATTGTCTTATGGTAGCTCAAATATCCCAACTTTTATTAATATGATTTTGTAAACCAAAGTAAGATTTAAAGGTGTTAACATGATATTGAACCACCAACCCAAATTTGATATTTACTGAGCTTGTAGCATAACCAAGAAGATGGTTTTGTTGGAATGAAACTGACTGCTTTGGAGGGAACCTGCTTTTCTAGTCTATGGAATATACTGGCATCAGTGGAATATAAATGTACATATTGAGAACCAAATCCATTTTGGAGAACTTCAGACCTTAGGTAGCTTAATCATTCAGCTGGTTATTTTTATTCTCTTTTCACCTATGATTTGTATCTTTGTTTTTCATAATAACTGTTTTTTAAAGTGATTTTATATCTTTTATATTATTGCTTTCAGACATACACTGTATGCTGCCAAGAGTTGCCTTTGGTGAAGAGGGCAGTTCTAGAAATTTGATTAATTAATAAATAAAATATTCTACAAAAGTGTGGTTGAGATCCTTATTTATTAGGACTCTTGCTTCAAAACTCCGTAGAAACAAATATTTTTAGTAAGATTGCAGTTCATACTTTTAATGGTTGTAAAATAAGTAAGTTTCATTCTGTAAAACAAAATTGGTTTTATAAAAACAAACAAAGCATATGTGAAATGAAAACTCATACTAAAAGCAGTTGAATTATTGGATCTAAGTTCATCTGCCTAGCATAATTTTTTATTGTTTTTATGGGTAACCCTCGACTTAAAACCATTTGTTCAGTTACAATGACACTGAAAAAGAATGATTTATACTTGGACCTCACACTTACAACCTTCAGTCATATGATCAGAATTCAGGTACTTGGCAACTGGCATGTATTTAACAATGGTTGCAGCTTCCCAGGATCATTTGTGACCTACCTCCCCAGCTGTCGTCCAACAAGCCAAGTCAATGGAGGAAACCAAATTCATCCAATGACTGTGTGATTCCCTTAACAACTGCAGTGATTCGCTTAACCATGGCAAAAGAGATCATAAAATCGGGCATGACTCCTTTAATGGCTGTCTTTACTTACCAACATAAATTCTGGCCCCAGTTGCGGTTATACATCAAGACTACCTGTCATGAGTTCTTCCCACTTGGCCATTCATTGTCTTGCAATTATGATATAATTGTTATATTATTCATCCCTACAATTAAGAAGAGGGCTTAATTATCTTCTTCACAGTTTAGAGCCATTGACAAAAGTGCCAGGAGCTGCTGGAAATTTTCATCACAATTTAAACTACAGAGGAAAAACTTCTAAATCATTATTTGGAGCACTGATTTAGTATTATTGGATTTTAAAAAGAACACCCTGGTATTTGCATGGTTTGTGTTTTGTTTTACTAGTCAATTACATGAATGGTTGCTGCATCTTACAACAGAAGAATGTAGAAATGCAGCAACCATTCATGCAATTGACTAGTAAAACAAAACACAAACCATGCAAATACCAGGGTGTTCTTTTTAAAATCCAATAATACTAAATCAGTGCTCCAAATAATGATTTAGAAGTTTTTCCTCTGTAGTTTAAATTGTGATGAAAATTTCCAGCAGCTCCTGGCACTTTTGTCAATGGCTCTAAACTGTGAAGAAGATAATTAAGCCCTCTTCTTAATTGTAGGGATGAATAATATAACAATATCATAATTGCAAGACAATGAATGGCCAAGTGGGAAGAACTCATGACAGGTAGTCTTGATGTATAACCGCAACTGGGGCCAGAATTTATGTTGGTAAGTAAAGACAGCCGTTAAAGGAGTCATGCCCGATTTTATGATCTCTTTTGCCATGGTTAAGCGAATCACTGCAGTTGTTAAGGGAATCACACAGTCATTGGATGAATTTGGTTTCCTCCATTGACTTGGCTTGTTGGATGACAGCTGGGGATGTAGGTCACAAATGATCCTGGGAAGCTGCAACCATTGTTAAATACATGCCAGTTGCCAAGTACCTGAATTCTGATCATATGACTGAAGGTTGTAAGTGTGAGGTCCAAGTATAAATCATTCTTTTTCAGTGTCATTGTAACTGAACAAATGGTTTTAAGTCGAGGGTTACCCATAAAAACAATAAAAAATTATGCTAGGCAGATGAACTTAGATCCAATAATTCAACTGCTTTTAGTATGAGTTTTCATTTCACATATGCTTTGTTTGTTTTTATAAAACCAATTTTGTTTTACAGAATGAAACTTACTTATTTTACAACCATTAAAAGTATGAACTGCAATCTTACTAAAAATATTTGTTTCTACGGAGTTTTGAAGCAAGAGTCCTAATAAATAAGGATCTCAACCACACTTTTGTAGAATATTTTATTTATTAATTAATCAAATTTCTAGAACTGCCCTCTTCACCAAAGGCAACTCTTGGCAGCATACAGTGTATGTCTGAAAGCAATAATATAAAAGATATAAAATCACTTTAAAAAACAGTTATTATGAAAAACAAAGATACAAATCATAGGTGAAAAGAGAATAAAAATAACCAGCTGAATGATTAAGCTACCTAAGGTCTGAAGTTCTCCAAAATGGATTTGGTTCTCAATATGTACATTTATATTCCACTGATGCCAGTATACTCCATAGACTAGAAAAGCAGGTTCCCTCCAAAGCAGTCAGTTTCATTCCAACAAAACCATCTTCTTGGTTATGCTACAAGCTCAGTAAATATCAAATTTGGGTTGGTGGTTCAATATCATGTTAACACCTTTAAATCTTACTTTGGTTTACAAAATCATATTAATAAAAGTTGGGATATTTGAGCTACCATAAGACAATCCAAATCAGGACTAGGTCTCTTCAACTACATCTCTAATATTTAAAAATAAATGCCCAAGCCTTGTTAAACATCTTCTAAGATGTCTAATAAACATGAAAAAGTATATTTTGTTGAATTATATTGTATTCTTATCTGACATTCTTTAAGACATATGACAATTTACTTTTTCAAAGTAGGCTATTACCTAAAATTCTTGCAAATAATCCAACTTAAATTGTTTTTCAGCATTCAGTAAAATTAAGTCTGATTTAGAATTTTCTAAATTTTCTAAGTTGAAAGAAAATTTCAACAAGTAATCTTAGAGTTACAGTGGATGCTAGTGCTTCAAAAGCAAATTGAGCAGTCAAAAAACATGCTAATATTTTTCCATTTAGCAGATTTAAAGAAAGATTTAAAAAATAAATTATTCTTTCATTTCATTAAATCTACTGAAATAATTAACAATATCTTACAATAGTTTTAAGGTACTCTGCATAGATAACCATGATACAGAGCAGTCCAAATGTTTCAAATACTTCAGAGATATATAGTATTTCAGACCTCTTGTAAGAAAACTACATATATCAATGATACCTGTTCTAAAATACTGGTCTCAGCAATTTAAAGATTAAACTGGATAAAGGGAAGAAAATATATTCCTCTCTGACATTATATTATTTGTTGCAAAAATCATCACATTTAATGTTTGAGGCAGAACTCAAAATGAACATTCAAGGAAACTTAAATAAGGCCTCACAGTATGTAACTCTGTCCTCCCTCAATTTACTTCCAGCTCCATTGCCTAACATACTTATTTATACCAATATTACTGTAATAATCCAATGCTAGGGTCAAATATATTATATTTTTTTTTGGGAAAAAAACCCTCAGAAATATTGATACAAATAGCTTTTGTATTTATTCTTTAATATTTATACACAAATACTTTAATGATCTTAGTAACAAAGATTCTAAAAATAATTATTCACATGCAGAATAATTCTTCCAAATGTCATCTTCTGAAATAATTGTGTATCTTTGGAAAACTTACAGTATAATACATCTTGTAGAAATCAATTATTTTGCAATTATGTTTTATCGCCACTTGACCATATGGATTGAATCATATTAAGAAAATCATTTACTTAAACAGTAAATTCAGAAATGATGTGAGAGACTATGATAAGGATTTCTACCACTCAACAAATATTGGTATTTTTAGTCCTACAGAATTAACTAGAAACATTTAACATAAACAGTCTTGTATTTGTCTGTTATCATTTACAAGAAAGTATGATTCACGAAATGCAGTATTAAAGTGGCTTATGCCAGTACATGCTTCATGATTACTTCTGCTTGACTTATCCTGCCAGAAGGTACAGCTAATAAATCCATAAATTCCATTTGTAGTTTATTTAGCATTATATTTAAAAAGACAGCCTTGCTTGTTGCCTGCACAAACATTCAGGATTCAGATTTTAGCTTCATAAGGAATAGAAGAAATAGATTGCTTTGAGCCTAATACTCAACTTACCATCTGTAAATGCTACCACCGTTTAGCCCTTTGTTGGGAAGAGTGGTGAGTGGAATAGTGTGTTTGGCAAATATACAGCAGCTAATATGCTCATTTTGGTTTATCAGATCCCAAGTGGCATACTGCCTTGCTTTATCTAAAAACTAGAAGCTATGTATAATCCCATATTTGTGAACAAGCAGATTCATCTTTCCCTTAATGTTTAATTTTTTTCTAAGGGTGTTTGCAATATGTTCACAGTATAATATATCACAGAAAATCAAAATCTGGCTTTCATGTCTCTGGATTGTAGCGTTACAAGATGGAAGTTCATTGTGTTTGATCATGACATTAAGATTTATCCAAATCTCTTCCAAAACTTGGTTGTTACAAATAGATGGTTCTATTATCCACCACGCTCTATAGAATACATGCAACTTTAATTTTTTTAAAGTTCTCTGCAATTCTAGAGATAAAGGAAGAATGCTGCCTTTAAGTTTTGAGCTGGGTAGAGAAACACTCCAAGTTCTCCTTAGCTTGCCTCTGCCATGTCCTGATGGCTTTCCCAAATTAGTCAAGTCAGTTTCTCCATGCTCAATTTGTAAAGTCTGTTCCGCTTTTATATTGGGTTGAAATTCTTTAAGCCCTTCTGCACTATTATAACATAAAGAAGCGTTGCAAATAGTTTCTGAAGTAGCAACATATTGTTTCACTTGTTCTACTTCTCTAACAGAAATAACTGGAGGAGCATTTTTAGGTTTAATAGGCAGTTTACATAAAGTGTTTGGAAACCAGGGTATGAAGACTGGCAGCTGCCGCCTAGGAAATTCCTTCAAGGCTTCTTCTGCAATGTTTTGCAATGCTGCAGGGTCCTTTTCCCAAGCTCGATAATGCAGAACCATTTCCATCCTTGTACAGTGGGAATCCATGTCTTATTTTAAAAGTTTTCTGGGTAGGCGTGTCTCAACAAATAAGATGATATTGCTCAAAAGAATCTTATTCTGTGTGCTGTGCAGTTGGGAACAGGACCTAGAGCAGAAGTAATATAAGATACTCTAGCAACTTTATCATCAAATTCACTGAGATTTTGTTAA